AGCCCCCCCGTAGGGACGGAACCAGCCATTGCCTCGGCTCAATCAGCGATTCCCACCATTGTTGGTGGTCAGCAACCTATCATGGCGGAAGGTCAAATTTTAGGGGCCGCCGTTGTAGTTTCGGACGTACCCTCATCCTCTACAGTTGGTCGTGCTTCCTCTTCAGCTGCTGAAAGAGGAAAAGGCATTGTGGTCGATGATTATGAGTCTGAATCGGACCTCAACCCTGATGATGTCAGGATGTTTGGGGAGGGACTTACTCACTAATAATTAGGGAATATGATGCATTTTACACTCCTTCTTGCTTAAGTTTTGATTAGAAATGTGTACAAAATAGTCCCATAGGCTCACAAGATGTGCTTGATTGCAGGTTTGATCAACAAGGTGACAAGGTGTCAAAAACAAACTCAAAAAAGGAGTGAAACTTGCATAAGTACCAAGACAAGACAAAGCTCAGTCAAACAGGGCCAGTGCGGCCGCACACCATTCTGTGCGATCCGCAAAGATGAAGTTTAGAGAGGGTGCTTTTCAGGCCAGAAGGCAATGCGTCCGCAACGGATTTCGTGCAGTCCGCATTGAGTTCATCGTGGCCGCACTCGATTTCGTACGGTCCGCAGAGCCAAGGTTCAGAGAGGTGGCATTTTGGATGATGAAGCCCAATGCAGTCCGCGGTCCATTTCATGAGGACTGCACTAGAAGCCACCGCGGCCGCACTCGAATTTGTGCGGTCCGCATTGCCCAAGTTCAGAGAGAAGATTATTGGAGCCTAGAGCCTTAGTGCGGCTGCACTCGATTTTGTGCGGTCCGTACTAGCCCCGCAGGGGTATTTTTGTCCAGAATTTTCAGCTTAGTATAAATAGCTTATTTTTCCATTTTTAGGTCATCAGATAGTTTTGTACTCAGAGCTGCGCTCATGACTTCATTTCTTTTACCTATTTTGAGTAATTTTAGCTTAATTTCAACATTGAATCTTCAAGTTTAATTTAGCAATTAATTATTATGAGTTTTTCTTCATCTATTGCCTTGTTTTCTTCTTTAATTATGAGTAGCCAGACCCATAAACTAGGGTTGTTGCTCAACTCTAGTGTGAGTAATTGATGGGTCTTGTGTTTTAGGGCTTGATTGACTATGTGTGTTTGATATTTGGACTAATTTTATGTTTAATTGTTGAATTAGTGGTTGCAAACACTAGCTATTGTTTCGTTGACTTTGGCTCTTCTTGAGAAAGAGAGCCTAAGTCTCTGAAATTTGTTCAACAAGGAATTGGGGCGTACTCAAGAGATTGATAGCCCCAATTAAAAGGTTAAACCTAGAGATAGTAATACCCGACTTGAACCTCAATTGCTTGCACAAATTTGCGTACCCAATTGGACTTGAGAAAGTCAATTAGGGCAAAATCACTTGAACCACTGAGAGGTGTAGAGTGAGTAGAATCGTGCAATGGTTATATCATACTCCCCAAATATGACAATCTAGCGTTAGACTCAAGAATCCGTTAATTAACCACATAAGAGAAAGTCACTGCCCTAGTGCCTTTTATCTATTTGATCAATTCTCAATAGTCATTACCAGAAAATGGGCCTATGAGAACAGTTATTTTGGCAACGGTTCACAAACAATTGCCATAGATCTGATATAGTAACGGTTGAAACTGTTACAATAGAATTTGGGTGTTATCTGCACACTAATGACATCAAACCGTTGCAAATATAACAAAACCATTGCCATAGAGTTTTGTTTCGCAACGTATTTGTGAACCGTCGCAAACATGTATATGGCAACGGTTTTGTGAAAAAAATTGCTATGGGAATAGTTATTTATTCCCCCTCGTTTTTTTCGCTGAAAATTTACTGGCCCGCCAAGCTAATTAATTAAGTGACCTATATTTTATATTTTTTTAACTAATTTAATACAAAAACCCCTCCGCCCAGAACTACTCCCCTCATCGATACCAAACTCCCATCGTCTAACACCCAAAATCTCCTTGTCGATACACCAAAAATCCCCTTTCTGATCTCTTTTCTTTTTGCATCTTTGCCGAGTTAAAGATTAATGGCTGAGTTTCATCAAATACCTCTTCATTAGACCTCAATAATTATCAAACCCTAGAGTACCCGAAGCCCAAAACTATGAGGATAGTCGGGGACTTCTCCGGCACTTCTTCAGGGACTTCCGTCGGTTTTCTGGCACTTCTCCGGCACTTCTTCAGGGACAGTTGCTTCGCCGGCACTCCTTCCCCAAATCCCCAAATTCTAAAATCAGATTTGTGCTCGAATCAGAGAAGCCCAAAATCACCATAGCATGGTAATTTTCTTAATTCTTTTGGTCATTTTTACTATTTTTGCTACCAATTCTATACGTTTTTAATGTGTTTTTTAGTTCTTGGCAAAATGGCTCTTAATTAATGCTGTAGTCTTTTGGGTTCTATGTTTAATTCATGTTGTAGTCCTGTGTTTTTAGTTCTATGTTTAAAAGTGATTTTTGGTGCCGATTAGGTGATCGTATTTGTGTTTTGATCCATTTTTATTATGCAGCCATGGAACTCCAAATGGCATCTCCTTTGGTAGTTGAAATTCTTGATTTTGGAAGTGGTTCTTTTTGGCATCACATTGTAGCTATAGCTTCTCCACAAAACTTAACAATTCAAACACATTATTTATGATAAATTTATATTTTAAGGGAATAGCAACATAAAAATCTCATGTTTCCCATGCTTTCTAACTTGCAGTAGTGTTATATGTAATCCTTGCACTATTTCATTTGAAATATTGTAGAAACTTAGATTCTTTGTAACCTCAAAATGTATTCAACTTATTGTGTCTACATCATGGTGTACTAGAATACGGGTATCCATTTATTTGGTTGCTGAGTATAACGCTGTAGTAGTCTGCTGTAAATTGAATAATGAGTTCTCTTAGAGGTCGAACCTGTCAAGTTTAAATCTTGGATCCGCTTATCTATCTTCCATTTTGTTTGTAAATTTTCACAATGCTGCTTTTGATATGCCTGATCAACACTGATTTATCTTTAGAATGATGTCTAGAGTTATTCTTATCCCACGTAAATGGATTTCTTTCGATATATTTGTTGATGTTGAATTTCAACTAGCAAAATAGTAGCACCAATTACTTCTATTTCACATTTTAAAACAATTTTCTTGCTGGCCATGTGCCTGCTGCTCTGGAGATTAGAACTCAGCTTATAGGACTACTACTGAAGATATTGGTCTCTACTGCTGAAGGGGGTTATGATTGCCAGAAAATTTTCTTCCTGATGTTTATGAATTACTTAAGAAGTTCTTCTATAAATATGGATGTGTTGTTTCCAAGGAGAGTTGGATCCTGGATAAGTTAGCAACTGCTTGAGTTGTGAGCCCTTTGCGAAACCGACTACAGATCTACTATATCTAATTTGCTCTGTTGACTTAACTAAGTACTCATGTCTAAGCAATTGAGTTTTCCCATATATTAGTCTTATACCTTGAGTTAATGTCCTAAAGTACAGTAATTATTGAAATCCTATGAACTAGACTGAGATACTGATCACCGGTTGATATTTGTAGTGTTGCAGTTTATAAGGCATTATACAAGAGCTTTGGTAGCTTTGCTGCAGATGTCGTTGCCGCCATAGACCAGGTACTTTTTCATTTTTAGTTACGAGAGTAGAGAAGAAGGGTACAAAAGAAAGGAATGTATATGTGTTTGAACTTCATACAAACAAAGGAAGAAAGAAAAATAAGTGATGCAGGTGTTGTTTCCCTGCATTGCTTGTACTTTGATCTTTTTGATTATAACCTTTCAAAGAACAACCAAAAATGGGATATAATTTTCTATTTTCTGATTTTTAGTGTGTGGACATTTACATTGACCTAGAATCATTCCCCTCACTGAAATTTTGAGATTTCCAGTTCCTTCTGACAGTGCTCTGAATTTTCTTCTCTTGACCTGAGTTTTTCCATATAAACAGCTAAAAGAAAACAAAGAACAAGACATCATTATCCAGTTTGTTTCCATGAGCTCGACCTTGAACATGCAGATGTAGATTTTCTATAACTGTCATGATACCTTCAACAAAATATATGTGCTTAATCTTATGACAGGAGTGGTCACCCAAATTCCACCATGTGGCAGCATCACGTATTGATGCTTGTCTTACTAGTGGTAAGGCAACCTTGTTAAAAATGATGGTAAAGAAGGAAAAAGATCTCCTAGTTATTGGACAACTGTTCATGTATGAAAATCTTATTTCATATTAAATTGTACTCTCTTCTTCATCATTGTAATAATCATGAGGAGCATCTTAACAAAGCAAAAACAAGATAGATCTTCATTCCTTAGAACTGATACTTATCTGTTTTCATTGATAGGCAGCCCAGGATGGTGTGGACATAATTAAATTTCAAAGGAAGTTATCCCCGATACTTATCTCCAATCGCATTCCAGCGGGATCACTTGCATCTTTGCGAAATTAAAGGGTTTAGTTGTTGACAATAAAAAGAACCTTTCAAGCTACAAGGTCAAATGAAAATGAAGAACGACAATCAGAAGCTGGATTACCTCCATCCTTGCGAAACCAAAAGCTTTCGTTGTTGATAACAAAAAGAGTCTTGAATATAAGGTCAAATGCAAATGAAGAACGACAATCAGAATAAGGATCTCAATTGCAAGAACAAGTGCAGCAAGTGACACGGAATAAAAGGATGCTATGAGACAAAATATTACAATGAACGTCATCGCACGACTTCAGCGTCTGAACCCAGAATTGTGACTTGATCCTGACATGTTAAGGTTCAGTGCACGTTCACACGTTCACCTGCACGTTCACACGTTCACCTATAGATGCTTCCTCTGCACAACAAGTTGCTATTCAACTAAACAGTCGACCATCTGCTGGTAGTAACAATCAAGATCAGTACGTACCAAATGTTATACATGTTCTTCTATTTCTTCTACTTCTCCTCCTTCCTTGGTTGGGATTTTGCTTTGGTTCAAGGCAGAGTGGATATGGTAATATCTTTTTTTTCTTCTTCTATTTTTGTTTTAATGCTTCAAAAATTAATTAGTAATTTCTGAAATCACAATTTTACTTCTTTTCTATCTAATTAAAGCATAAAATTGTTAGCGTGCAAGAGAAGCTGAATTTTAAGGGGTTTTTAATGTTAATTTTCCTGAATCCTTGTTTCTCAAAAAATTACTAGAAGCCTTGGTCCTTGGACAATGCTGGAGGCATTACTTGTAGTTCATACATGAATATGCCCCAAATCAGGTAAATCACTTTTACAGTCTCGCCTTTGATCAAACTTTGAATTCTTAATGCTAAGGTATGCAGTACAACAACAAACCACTAACAAAAATAACACTAATCACATAGTATATATATCTATAATAAACAGAAGCTTTATATATGATGAAAGTAACAGTAGTTAATATACCTGAAGAATTAGCAAGTAAACAAGTTGTCGCCCAAATTCCTCATTCTATCATATATCTGTGACTGTCGTCTTTGTGATAATAATATACCAACATTTCCAAGCAAGCATTTATAAATGAACTTACTAATGAGTCTTCCCATCATAGCTTGATAGTTTGAATGTTTTGGTCTTTGGTAATAATATCAGATTGTTATAATGTTGCGTATAGTTTGTTGAGATGAATAAGTTGGATTAATAAAAGAAGAACGAAAACAGTTAAATGCTTGAGTATTCTTAGACCGGATTCTGTTGAAGGGTGATAACTTTATTTATCCTCTTTTGTAGGTGGAGTAGATCAAGAAATGGATGATGAAGACGATGAAGAACTAGACTTTACTTGAATTGAATTTTGTATTATTATAGATGAATGTTATAGAATCTTTTGTTACTAACATTTTTGAAACTTATTTACTCTTTTGAAATGTACTAAACTTATGCACTCATGGGGTAGAACATTTGCTTTATGGATAATTTTGTATTATTAATAGTTTCATTTTAAGATGTATTTAAATTTTAGTGTTATTATAATTTATTATATGGATAAATATTTATTTATAACAGGTGCTATATTTTGGTTTTAACTAAACTGATACAATAGCCTACTAGAACAATTGTAGTAGGACACAAATGACGTTCCAGCAGACAATGTAAACCATTGCAATAGGTCCCACTAACTGTTCAAAATACAATATAACTGTTACGATAGCCTAAAGACCGTGGTTATATTCAACATAACCGTAGAAATAGCTTACATAAGTGTTGCTTTAAATAATATGGTAACGATTAAAAACCGTTGTATAAACAATACAATAACGGTTTTGAACCATTCCAATTGAAAAAATAATCGTTCCAACAGAGAAAGGGAAAACCGTTGCGATAGACGTATCTATTGTCACGGCGATGCAAACCGTTGCAAGAACCGCTCCAGTAGACCTACGGGTACGCCGACTGATGTGACGGTCTTTAAACCGTTCCAATATCCCTATGGCAACGGTTTGGCAGTCTGTGGGAACGGTTTTTCAACCGTTACTGTAGACCAATTTTTCAGTAGTGAGTCTAATCTTAGCTTTATTTAGCATAATTTAGCATCGTAGTGTTATACAATTAGAAGTAAAATAGAAAACCCAAAATGTTTAGAAGTGTAATTTCCAAATTATACAACTCCACTTTAAATAGACACTCAACTCCAATATATATTGCCCTGTGGAAATCGATCCCGAGCTTATTGGGTAAAAGCTGCTTCAACCTCTCTCGCTGCTCAATAGTAGTGCAGGGTTGGCCTCGATCACTTTTTGGCGCCGTTGCCGGGGAGCTAACGATTTTGGCTATCTATCTAAATAGTTTTGTGTATTGTTCTTTTTTCCTTCTCTGTTACTAATTTGTGTGTGTCACAACTTCAGGTACAAAATGGCAGCAAACCTAAACAACGCACCTATTGGAGATCTTTGGTCGAGGGAGGAAGTAGATGACAATGTTGAAGATGAGGTCCCTATAGTGCCTCAAGGACAAAGGAGAGGCTGCCAGGCCAATGATAATATTTCAGACCCTCTCCCGCCACCTCCAAGAGTGGCTCCTCGAGTGCTTCCAAACCAAGGCTATGCAAGTGCAATTGTCCCGCCCCGGATTAGGGCAGGTAATTTTCAAATTACCAATGTGATGCTGATATTACTGGAGTAGCTTGTGTATTTCACGTGCGCTGCCAATCAAAATGCTTACAAACATCTTAAGGGGTTCGTGGATACTTGTTGGGGGAGCAAGCAAACAAATGTATCCGAGGATGCACTTCGGTTGAGATTCTTTCCATTCTCACTTAGTGGGAAGGCATTGGATTGGCTTGAGCGACTTCCCAACCATTCCATCACTACTTGGTATGAGTTGGCGGACAAGTTCATTACAAAAAATTTCTCACCGGGGCATATGGCAGCATTGAGAGAAGAGATCTTAGCTTTCAAGCAGGAGCCCACAGAACCTTTGCATGAGATTTGGGAGCGCTATAGAACAATGGCAAAGGAATGACCCAACAATGATATGACTGAGGCGATGATCCAATAGACTTTCTACCAGGGCATTAACACAACAAAGCATAGTGAACCGACTTGCTGGGGGCAATTTCATGAAGCTGTCTTTTGATGAGGCTTGTGACATTCTTGACGAGATGGCTGATACTTCTTCTGCTTGGCAAAGTAGATCCAATGTGCCACAAGGTGACCCCACGGTCACTCATTTGCACAAGGAGTTACATGATCATGGGTAGGCTATAGCTGAGCTGACAACTACAATGAACCAACTCGCAAAAGCACAATTACAACAAGTTCAAAATCCTCACCAAGTGAATGCTATGGAGGGTGTCAACATGCTTGTCAACAAACAAAGACAAAGAGGGAAACAAAACCAAGGGAATTCAGAGCAATTTTATAATGATTGTGGGGGATTCCAAGATGATGGTTAGGATGGGCAGAATGAAAAGGTGCAATACGTGAATAATTATCAAGGCCAAAGGGGCAATTCTTCCAACCAACAACAATGGAGACCCCAAGGCAATTGGGGCAATTAACAACAACAAGGCAATGGTAATTGGGGGAACAACAACCAAACCTCCAACTGGGGAAATCAGAACAACAATCAAAACAATCAAGGAAATTGAAATGGTAACAACAACAACTGCGGTGGTAATAATAATCAAGGTGGATGGAACAATGGCAACCTAGGAAACCGGGGGCAAGGCTTTCAAAGGCCCCCAATGTACCAACAACCGAACAATCCACCCTCATTTCGATCCCAAGGCCCGAGTTCCCCTAATAATGAAATGGGGAGAATTGAGATGATCTTTGAATAGATGATGAAAAATAATGCGGACTCTGATGCTTAGTTGGCTTCCCACAATACCTCACTTAGAAACTTGGAGATTCAATTAGGCCAAATCTCACAATCCTTGAATACTCATCCTAAGGGAGCAGTACCTAGTAATACGGTGGTTAACCCGAAGGATGGGAACAATCATGTTATGGCTGTAACTACAAGGAGTGGAAGAGGCGGTGATGTTAATGCCTCCAAACAAAAGCAAATTTTGAGTGATGATTTTGAGTTGCAAGAAGATGAAGTTCCTTTGGTGGTTGAAAATGTGATTGATGAGAACGTGAATGAAGAAGTGAGGATTTATATTCAAGATGCCGAGGTGGAAACTCAAAATGATGTAAACCTATCTAGGGAACACGTAATAGACATGCCAGAGCCGGTTGTGCCTAAAGCCAAGGCTCCTTTGCCAAGGCCACCTCCACCTTATCCTCAAAGGCTCGCGAAGCAGAAAAATGAGAATCAGTTTAAAAAGTTCATTGACATGATGAAGAGCTTATCCATTAATGTGCCTTTGGTGGAGGCTCTTGAATAAATGTCAGGCTATGCTAAATTCATGAAGGACTTAGTGACAAAGAAATGGTCCATGGATTGTGAAACTATAAAGATGACCCACCAAGTTAGTGCAATAGTGCATTCAATGGCCCTGGAGCTTGAAGATCCCAGTGCGTTCACCATTCCTTGCACCATTGGGAGTTCAAACTTTGTTAAGGCTCTATGTGATTTGGGGGCTAGTATCAATTTGATGCCCTACTCAATTTTCAAGACTTTGGGTATTGGGCAACCGAGGCCAACTTCCATGAGATTGCAAATGGAGGATAGAATGATGAAGAGACCATTGGGTATTATTGATAATGTGCTTGTCTGGGTGGACAAATTTATCTTGCCAACTGATTTTATGATCTTGGACTGTGAGGTAGATTATGAAGTTCCAATCATATTGGGGAGACCTTTCATTGCTACAGGGAAGGCCTTAGTTGATGTGGAAGCACAGGAACTCACCTTCTGGGTGGGTGATGAAAATGTGGTCTTTCATGTTTGAAGTCAATGAAGCAGCCCAACAGTACCGAGGTGTGCTCTTTTGTGGACCTTTTCACAGTAGTGATAGTTGATGATACCAGTACAATGATCAATGTGGAGGACCCTGTTGAGGCCGTATTGTTGAATGTTGATGTCAATGAGGATGCAAGCCGGGTGGAGTGTGTGAATGCTTTACATGGAATGGGCTCATACTCTTATGAGCCTAGAAAACTCTCTTTGGATCTCGAGAATAGGAAGTCTCCACCAATAAAGCCTTCAATTGAGGAACCTCCGATGTTGGAGTTGAAACCGTTGCCTCTACACTTCAGGTATGAGTTCTTAGGCCCTAGTTCTACTTTGCCAGTTATTCTTTCTTCTTGTCTTACTAATATTTAGGTTGATGCCACATTGGTGGTGCTTCAAAGGCAGAAAAAGGAAATTGGATGGACTTTAGCTGATATTCAGGGGATAAGCCCCGCATTCTGTATGCATAAGATTATTCTGGAAGATGATGCAAAACCCTCCTTGGAACATCAAAGGAGATTGAACGAGGTAATACAAGAAGTTGTGAAAAAGGAGGTGATCAAGTGGTTGGATGCCAGGGTTGTGTACCCCATCTCTGATAGCTCTTGGACTTCGCCGGTGCAATGTGTACCGAAGAAGGGTGGCATGACCATGGTTGCAAATTCACAAAATGAGTTGATTCCTACCAAAACCGTCACCGGTTGGAGGGTATGCATGGACTACCACAAGCTGAATAAAGTGACCCGCAAGGATCACTTTCCATTGCCTTTTCTTGATTAGATGTTAGACCGACTTGCTGGGTGTGCCTTCTACTGTTTCTTTGATGGGTATTCTGGATACAACCAAATCTTGATTGCTCCGGAAGATCAGGAGAAGACCACATTCACTTGTCCATATGACACCTTTGCCTTTTCTCGGATGCCTTTTGGGTTGTGTAATGCACTGGCTACATTTCAGAGGTGTATGATGGCCATTTTCACCGATATGGTGGAAGATATTCTAGAGGTGACGTGGACGACTTTAGTGTTGTGGTTGATTCATTTGATGAGTGCTTAAAAAATCTTGATAGAGTCTTGGCCCGTTGTAAAGAAACCAATCTTGTTCTCAATTGGGAGAAATTCCACTTTATGGTGGAAGAGGGCATAGTTCTTGGGCATAAAATTTCAAAGCATGGTATTGAGGTAGACAAAGCAAAAATTGATGTAATTTCAAAGCTCCCTCCCCTACCTCTGTCAAGGGAGTTAGAAGTTTTCTTAGGCATGCGGGGTTCTATCGGAGATTTATCAAAGACTTTTCGAAGGTAGTGAATCCCTAATGCAAGTTATTGGAAAAAGATTCCAAGTTCGTGTTTGATGAAAAGTGTATGCAAGACTTTGAACTTCTCAAGCATAAGTTGACCACCACTCTTATCATTACCGCACCTAATTGGAGCTTGCCCTTTGAGCTCATGTGTGATGCGAGCGATGTTGCGGTTGGGGCATTTTTGGGTCAAAGAGTGAACAAAATGTTTCATTCGGTGTACTATGCGAGCAAGACAATGAATGATGCTCAAGTGAACTTAA